TTGGGCGGGCTAATAGGGGCCGATAAAAGTAGGGGCCGATAAGTGACAGGTTTTGGCCTGGTCACGGGTCGGATGGGCAGTGCTCAAAACTGCAACTGAAAATGCTGTTGTGTTGGGATCTGTGTCTGAACGGTTTTTGGTTGTTGTTTGTGGGATTGTCCGGCTCGCGAAATGGAGGAGGTGCAGGTGTTCCGGTGGTAAATAGTTTGTGAAATCGATGATGTGGCGGTGTGGTCATTTTTAATATGTTGTGTGATTATTGGAGTAGGTTTGAGGATGGGATTTTAGTTTGTCCGAAGACCTTGGATTTGTCAAAATGCGCCAAATTTCCGGCCGCTGGCCTGCTGTCGAAAACTTTGAAGTGGTAGCAAAAACATCATGCTACTGCACCGTGCAGGAGCTGCTTGCTTTAGCTAATTTCCTTGCTTCTTTGTTTGCAGGAAAAATGAGCGAATGAGTGGAAAGTTTTTGAGGGTTAAGCTGCTATTGAATTATCACTAAACCCTAAATCGGAAAGCTGGAAATGTAAGAGTACTAATCAGTCTAAACCTTGTCCCCGAAGCCGAGTCTGTCGAACCCTACGCCTAAAAACAGAAAACCCGATGTCTTAGGCCCTAAGTGCCACACATGCCTAAGCCCAAGCTTACCTACAACAGGAACTGTAAGAGTAAGGGTTGAAAGTTGGGGGGCTGGGGGCTTCGGATTTTAGGGCCAAATCCGGGCTAAGTGCTTAGGGTCTCGGGCTTAGGGGTTAGGGATTGCAGCAGCTTCCACAGCTGCCAGGTAATCGGCGAAGAAGATTCGCCACCGAAGCACCTGGCACAGGGCAAGTTGCAGTAGGCTAGTCGTGCTGAGCTGTGCTTGGCCACGTAAGCAGACGGCGACCCCTCGACCTGAAGCACTACTTTACTTTGCAGTGCGAAGTGGACAGCACTGGAGTCTTTTTCGGCCTTGCAGGAACGACTCTGCGAAGTTCTGTCCTTGACCAAGCCGAGTGCACGAACGACGACGAACGACGCTGCGAACTTGTGTCCCGTCCTTGACCAGGCTGAGTGCCTAGTTTGTGCGGTCGCTCGGCCTGCGGAGCGGCCGGGCTTTTTGGACGCTGTGAAGCAAGCCCGGCAGAGAGAGTCGTCGGTTGGCCGGCACGAAGCTCCTGCTCAGAATGTCCACCAGGTTGTCATTGAACGGCATCACCTTGGCAGTCTTTGCGATGGCCATCTCCCGAATGGCCTGAGCTGTCTGCTCCTCGGTCTCCCGCACGAACGTCTTGGGGGAGACCGTCCACAGCGAGGTTTTTGCAGGCGAGCAGATCTCGAACAACGAGACAGTGGCCGCCCAAACGTCGCCGGCGGTTGTCACTCGCACCTGGCAAGGGACGTTGCACCGTGGGTGTGGTGTTGTTGGGGTTTTGTTTGAAACTAGAGAAGGAGAGAGAGAAAAGGCACAGCCTCTAGTTTCACCTGGATTTGGGAGGGACCACGAGATTTCAGCTAATTTCACGATGCATAAATTCCAGGCTTTGCGAGGTGCCTGCCTTCCGGTTGC